TGTGTGTGTGTGTGTGCGTACCTATGATGTCAACAGATACTGACCAGCGATGCCTGGCCAGAGGCCGGTACCAGTCTTGAGCTTTGGTGCCCGGGTGAGTACGCCACAGCCTTGAGACTGCTGAAGGTCTCTCCATCTCGCCACAGAACTGCTCTCCAGCACCTTGTCGCCAGAGTGTACCTCTCATCTCCGTGTACGAACTCGGTGCTGACCCAACTATCTAGCGCCATTCGATCTATCATACAATTGATGGTCCTAAATGCAGGCCCAAGTCCTGGTCTAGTTGGCTGGCCTAAGAACGGCTGGCCTGGGGCGCCCCTACTGCACGTCAACTCGTCGAGGCATCCCATCTGATGGTCCTCATAGGACGAGAACTGCTCCAGTCACTACAGGACAAACCTGGTCCAGTTCGACTACGGAATGAAGTTCCCTGGGCCTCAAAGCGGCCAAAACGCGGCCCCATGGACTCCCACCTGTACTCCACTGGGTACCGACTAGCTGAGCTTAGCTCAGCTGGTACACCCACCCATTAACTGTTGAAGTCCAGACCTGAGTTCGAACTCCGGTGGAAGCAGATGTATGTAAAATACTACAAATCTGAATTACCTAAGGGGTGGTCGATGAAATCTCAAGGCCGTCACCCTTCCTTAGGGGAAAAAAAAGAAAAAGAAAAGAAGAAAACACTCCACTGGTTCCGCACGACTCATGCCAGACCAGACATCGCGGAACAGCCGCAAGACTCTAAACTATGAAACTCCTAAGAGTCCTAACCCAGACAAAAGGAGTCGCCGCACCACTCGCAAAACGTGAAAAAGACAAAAATATGGCGGTTGAATCTTTCCATGTTTAAGCGGAAAATTCATTCTCATTTTGCACATTGGGTGAGTGTGGCGAGGCCCAAAATCACACATTGTCAGCGGAAAAAACATCTCAGGTGTCAGAACTGAAGTAAGTCAGTTACCCATGAGCTTAGCTCAGTTGTTACACCTGTGAACTGTGAACTTTTTGACATATAGACCTGAGTTCGAATCCGGATGGACCTTCAAGTTGATGAGTGGAATTAAAAATCAGTAGCCTAAGAGAAAGAAAACAGAGATCAGTCAGATCAGTCAGTACCAAAGGTGCAGATAGTTCTTGTTGATACTAACAGAAAATCAGACTGTTGCTTTCTAGCTGAGAGGAGCAGCAGGGCCTCTCTAGTCACTGTACATCTCAGCTGTCTGGAAGTACACTCGGGGCCTACTTCCTCGCAGTGCAAAAGCAGTCAAGAAAATCGGGTTGTTTTTTTTTCTAGCTGAGAGGATCTATCTAGTCACCATACATCTCAGCTCTCTGGAAGTGCCCTCGGGGCCTACTCACACTGCGACTTTTTCCACCTTCTCTCTGAACGCAAATGGGGCCAGGTGCATCCAGGTGGGGTTGGAAAAGCAGTCATTTTACATCCGGGGATCAGGAAAGTCCCGGTGTGAGTATACTCTAGAAAATGGGTGAGCAGCGATGAATCCTTTCAAGTCAGGAGGTAATCAATTCCAATGTCTCAGGGTCCTTCAGGCACGATGGAAGGAACCGTGGTGTGATTACTCATGTAAGGGAGGCTAGACCCTGCTTTCAGTAGATATCGATCCATGCAGAATCGTTCCAGATCCATTAAAAAAAAAAAAAAATCCCGCTGTTCGAAGAGCAAACTCCCCGCTGTCCGAAGGCTGCACCAAGTCCAACTAGCAGCACTGAGTTTCCTCAATGCCGGAATCTGGACGTATTTGTGCAGATGTGCAGAAAATCACATTGAGTTTCCTCGACCGCACCTCGCCACAAACACGTCCAGATTCGGGCGTTGAGCAAACTCCACGCTGCTAGTGGGTCTTCGCCCCAGGGCTCATTATTCCCATCTAATCATCTATTATTTTAGTGTTTCTATAGAGTGTCCATTGCAACACTTCCTCTTTTGATGTTGGTGTTCTTATTCAATCCGGTAAACCTGGCAGCCTAGCTCAGTTGGTACACCCATGAGCTGTTACAATACACACCCCAGTTCAAACCATGGTTACGATCCAGATGTCCGGATCCCAGTCCAGATCGTCCGTATCTGGATGTCCGGGCGGACGTCCGGGATGATTTTTTTTTTTTTTTGGTTGTTCAAGGCCCACCGGGCCCCACCCCCCAAAAAAATGTTTTGGGATTTCTTAACTATTTTCTGGCCCTTTCAGAAAGCCAAAGAGGGCCGGGCTGAGACTGTTTCTGATTGAGAGAGAGAGAGAGAGAGAGAGAGAGAGAGAGAGAGAGAGAGAGAGAGAGAGAGAGAGAGAGAGAGAGA